GGCCTCTCCCTCTTCCTGCGCCGCTCCCTGCACTGCGCCCCCGGCCTGTCCCTCTTCCTGCGCCGCTTCCCACACTGCGCCCCCAGCCTGTCCCTCTTCCTGCGCCGCTCCCTGCACTGCGCCCCCGGCCTGTCCCTCTTCCTGAGCCGCTTCCCGCACTGCGCCCCCGGCAGGGCCAGCTCTAGCAATTTTGCCGCCCCAAGCAAAAATGATTGGCCTCTTACAATTGGTATGCGTACTTCCACCTTTTCATGTTCTCTGTATGTATAAATATCTTCTGTCTGTGTGTTCCATTCTATGCATCCAAAGAAGTGGGCTGTAGCCCACGAAAGCTTATGCTGAAATAAATTTGTTAGTCGCTAAGGTGCCACAAGTACTCCTGTTCTTTTAACTGTTTTTATGCCAGCGTGAGCCCCACACTGACAGCGAGGCCACCGTTTCTTGGCAGGAAAGGCGTTTGGCACCTGGGCCCAAATCCGCATCGGTATTTAGGCACCTTTGCGGTTCTGGGCCTTTCTGCCCCTCCACTCGCTCATCTGCACTAGTGGCACGTCCATTACAGGGCCGGTGTAGTGCCTCTGACTGGTTGGGATGAGGTTCCAGCTGTCACTGACACCAGGGATTGTATGTCTCTGGTTCGTGTGAAGAAGAGTGTGTCTCGTCCCCAGATTTACAGCCCGGGTTCTCTGCGTAAAGCAGGAATTTTCTGTGGATTGTCAGCTACGTTGATTCCTTAATGAGTTACCATTAATTAATAATGGGAGTGTTAAGAAATCTTGGTGGCCATCTTTCCCCTTTTCCGACTTTCTTTCGCCAGCAAGTGGCTGCTTTCCTATTCACGTTGTTCAAACTCTTGGTGCGCTCGTGATGAAAGTGCGCTTGCAGAAATGATGGCGCAATTAAGCAAACTGATTAGCGGTTGTTTCCTGTCACTGGAAACCATTAAATTCAATTTTCCCTTACACAAAAGTGGCTGCAATTTCACATAATTTACATGAGGCCCAACGTTGTAGCTACTCAGGCTCTCAGTAGAAAGACAAGGTGGGTGGTGAGGTAAATTATCTTCTATTGGACCAACTTCTGTTGGTGAGAGAGACAAGTTTTCCAGCTTACTCAGCAGAGAGGGCTACTGGGGGCGAGTGCCCCCTAGTGGTTACTATCTCCCATAGTTTCCAATGGAGCTGAAGCCATTGGCAACCTCAGGGAAGATGGCTGCCACGTCTCTAAACTACTTATAAGGCCTCTACTTCCACAGTGTCTGTGCACCTCATAATCAGGGAGGGATGTCATTAGCCCCATTGTACAGATGGAGAACTGAGGCACACAGCAACTGCCCTAGATCACCCAGAAAGTCTGTGGCAGAGAAGTGACTGAAACCCAGGACGCCTGAGTCCCAGGCACAGGCCCTACCACTGGGCCGTCCCACCTCTCCAGCTTCAACTCAGCCAACGTGCCAAACGTGCGGGACACGGCTGACCTAGGGGTCACTGTTCTTTGCTGTATCTTGCACCAGCACTGACCGTTTTAACTGTAAACGCTTTTAAACGCTGTTTTCTCCATTTGTGAATTATACAGACGTTGGCGCTTTCGTTTGTTTGTTTTTAAGACAACGGGCAACCAGCAGGGTTTGAACCCTCAATCGTCACATCCCCCACACAGAGCTCTTGCATGTGAACTAAAGGGGTACTAGGGTGACCAGATGTCTCGATTTTATAGGGACAGTCCCGATTTTTGGGTCTTTTTCTTATATAGGCTCCTATTACCCCCCATCCCCGTCCCGATTTTTCACATTTGCTGTCTGGTCACCCTAAGGGATACACTTCAGGTGGAGCCCAGGGGGTCTGGTCCCACCATTTGCCAGCGGGTCACACAGGTATTTGATAGACAGCAGTAGAGTGCTGGGGCTCAGGGCCCCTGGGTTCCAGTCCTGGCTCTGTGTTCTAGTGGTTTGAATTACAGTGATTAAAGACAGCACAGCTGCTAGATCAAAGAGCCCTCTGGGTTCAGAAATCTCCTTCCCACATGAGTACTTACAGACCCTGATCAAATCACCTCTTAACCTTCTCTTATAGATTGAAATATTTGAGTCTCTCACCGTCAGGCAAGTTTTTCCAGACCTCAGATCATTCTTATGGCTACGCTCTGAACCCTTGCCAGTTTTTCAACACCCTTTTTGAAGTGTGGACAACCACTGGACACAGAATCCAGTAATGGTCCCACCGGTGGCATATCCAGAGGTAACATCACCTCCCTACTCCGCCCTGCATGTGCGGCACTTACCCTCTTAGCCAAAGCCTTGCCCACCCCTAGCTTGGAAGGAGCATTCCCAAGCTCCACAAGGGAAGCCAGCCAGAGAGGCCTGCCCGGTCACGTCGCCCAGTGGGACTGGGCTGGCGTTTTTCGTGGAAGCTGCTGCGCTGTTTGTTCTCACACTGCCGCTGGACTCTGCCCTGTTTGTCTGACCCCATGCACAGCCGGGAGGGGCTGTGTTTGATGAGTCATGCTGTCCCAGGGCAGAGACCGGCCTCAGCTGGAGTGAAGAGAACATCCGACTGGAAGAGACCTGCTGGGTCACTGAATCCAGTCCCTGCCATCATAGGCAGCCCCATCATATCATCCCACTCATAAAGCTCCAGCTTCAAACCAGCCCCTCTCAGCCCTCCTTTGCCTAGGCTAGCCGAGCTCTTCCAGTCTCCTCTCATACAACAGGCCCTGCATTCCCCTGATCATCCTAGTAGCTCTTCTCTGCACCTGTTCCAGTTTGAATTCATCCTTCTTGAACACAGGTGACCAGACCAGCACACACTATTCCAGATGAGGCCTTACCAGTGCCTTGTACAATGGCATTAATACTTCCCTATCTCTCCTGGAATTGCCTCTCCTCATACATCCTAGAACCGCCTGTCTCTGCAGTCAGGGTGTGGGAAGAAAGCCCTCAGTCTGTGGTCATGTGTGTCCGAAAGGCCACCCCAGGGACGCTGTCATCTCCCCTGAGGGGATGGCATGTGGGTGGCATGTTCCGTGTATTTGATATGTACTGACATGCGAGAAAACACCATTCTGAGCTCCCTGTGTGAGTAGTATATGGGAGGCGTGTTGGAAGCATATGATCAGCATATGGGAGGTGAGTGGGCGGTGTTTGGAAGGTGCCTGGGTGACATGTGAAGGCCGTGTAGGACATGTTTGGGCAACATGCCAGTGGTGTGTGGATGGTGTGTGGGAAGCATGTAGATGGCATGTGGACAGCATGTGGGAGGCATGTGGATGGCATGCTGCCTCTGAGCAAGTCTCGTGTGTGTGTGTGTGTGTGTGTGTGTGTGTGTGTGTGTGTGGAGAAGGGTTGTGTGCCCTGTCCCCGGCGAGGAGGCAGAGAGATGCAGTGACTGGGGGCCCGGCCTGCCCTAGTGCGTCACTGGTACAGGCTGGGCAGAAGGGTTGTGTGCCCATCATGTACAGGTCAGAACTCAGACTGCTGGCAGACTTGCTCAGAGGGGATGGGGGCAGCTGTTCGAGGCCAGCAGTGTGCTCCAAGAGCTACACCAGGGGTCCCGCTCCAGAAGGGGACTATTTTTAAATGCTATGGCCTGGTTGGAGCATTTGAGGAGACAGATGAGAGGGGAAACTGAGGCAGCATACTGCGGTGCCACCCCAAGCTACAAGGAGGGGCTTGGAAGGCGAGCACCCAGCCACACTGTCCAAGTGGGGGATAAGGATGCCCCACCCGGGTCGTATGCTGCGGCATGCATTGACGACATTATCATCTCCAGGCAGAGCTGGGAAGACCACCTGAGGCACGTATCAGCCATACTAAAAGCCCTTCAGGAGGCAGGGCTCACAGCCAACCCAACCAAATGCTGGCTGGCCCGGCGAGAGGTGACCTACTTGGGCTACCAAGTAGGAGTGGGGCGGTTGAGACGACTCATTGACAACATGCAGGCCCTGGCTCAGTGTGCCACCCCCATGACAAAACACCAGGTACGGCGCTTCCTCGGCCTCGGGGGCTACTACCAGCACTTCATACCCAACTTCGCTACCATCGCAGTGCCCTTGACAGACCTGGCAAGGAACACCAACCCAAGGAAGGTCCCATGGTCGGTGACCTGCGAGAGGACCTCCCAGGAGCTAAAGGAGCAGCTGAGCTGAGAACCCATGCTCACCCACCCTGACGTCACCAAGAAGTTTACATCCCAAACAGAGACCTCCGAGGTGGACCTAGGCGCAGTGCTACCCCAAAACACTGATGGGGAAAAACACCCAGAGTGTGCCTCAGCAGGAAGTTGTTCCTCCGAGAAACCACCTACTTAGTCATCGAGAAGGAGGCCCTAGCAGTGAAATGGGCCATGGATGCTCTGAGGTGCTACTTGCGGGGGAATGAATGCCTTTCGGCAAGTGACCGACCATGTGCCGCTACAATGGCTGAACACCACGAAAGACACCAACCCCTGGATTATGCAGTGGTACCTCTCCCGGCAGCCGTACAGCTTTGAAAGCCTTCACCGGGTAGGGTAGGATCATGAAAACACAGATTTTTTTCTCAAGAGATTGTGGGCACAAGAACCACAGGACCATGCCCCAGCACCGATTCTGAGGGAGGGAGGTTTGACAAGGTGTATTAACCCCTCACTGGACAGGACGGGGTAAGGAGCAACTCTGGGCTCAGGAGGCCCCATTTCTCCTCCCATGCTGAGCATGCGCTGGTTGGAGGCAAGGTTTAAAAGGCAGCTGGACAGCTCGGTCAGGGCTAGGTAGGAAGTGACTCAGGGAAGTTGATGCACGGCACCGTGGGGTGAGCAAGAGCCTCCCAGGGCCCTGGGTCAGAACCCATGGAGTGGGAGGGCCCAGGTTCCCCTACCCCACCTGAGAACTGCACCCATAGGTGCAGCACTTCCCACTTGCTGCCCGTGAACTGAACCCACTAGGTGGGGTTGCAGCTGAGAACTGTACCCATTAGTCAGCGCTGCCCTCGAGAGCAGCATCTAGTAGGCAGAGCTGCCACCAGAGATGAGCCATCGGGTGTACCTGCCACCTTAGGCCCTAACTGCTAGGCAGGAGACGCTGCCTCCTGTCCACACCCCATAGTATGTGTCCATCTGCGGTGACAACCTCATATGACCACAGGGGAACCTCTTGGGACCCCACAGCTGTTTGCAACCTTTGTTTCCCTTCACAGAGAAGCACTGCATCATTTTTAATGAAGTGGTGGTAGCTCCTGTGACCCAAAATCATGCTGAGTTTTTTATTTTGCCTTATCTGTCTCTTTATACGTCAGAGTCACTGGGGACTACAAGTCCCCAGTGACTCTGACGTCCGTTTCTAACAGTGCAGGCACTCTTGCTTTCAGTTTTCTGTTGGATGAAATGTCAGCAGGTGACAGCCCATGCTTCCTGGCATTAGAAAAGGTTCAGAGAAGGGCAACTAAAATGATTAGGGGTTTGGAACGGGTCCCATATGAGGACAGATTAAAGAGGCTAGGACTTTTCAGCTTGGAAAAGAGGAGACTAGGGGGGGATATGATAGAGGTGTATAAAATCATGAGCGATGTGGAGAAAGTGAATAAGGAAAAGTTATTTACTTGTTCCCATAATATAAGAACTAGGGGCCACCAAATGAAATTAATGGGCAGCAGGTTTAAAACAAATAAAAGGAAGTTCTTCTTCACACAGCGCACAGTCAACCTGTGGAACTCCTTGCCTGAGGAGGTTGTGAAGGCTAGGACTATAAAAGGGTTTAAAAGAGAACTAGATAAATTCATGGAGGTTAAGTCCATTAATGGCTATTAGCCAGGATGGGTAAGGAATGGTGTCCCTAGCCTCTGTTTGTCAGAGGGTGGAGATGGATGGCAGGAGAGAGATCACTTGATCATTACCTGTCAGGTTCACTCCCTCTGGGGCACCTGGCATTGGCCATTGTCGGTAGACAGGATACTGGGCTGGATGGATCTTTGGTCTGACCCAGTACGGCCGTTCATATGTTCTTACGTTCCTTGGTGCCTTTCCATAATTTAACATATGGATCAGAGTCTGACTCTGCAGCCTTTTTCAGTAGGCACTTTATAATTCTGACACCATCTTCCACCTAAACCCCTGGATTAGGGACTGTGGGGACTAGCAGTTACACGTCTAAACCTGTACTTCGCTGCAAACTGCTTAAATTCATGCCCACTAAACCGCAGCCTGTTGTCAGATATTAGCATGTCAAGTATACCACGTCTAGCAAAAATAAATCTGATATGCACCATCACCTGCTTGCCTGTAGTATCTTCTAGTAAGGCTGTCTTAGGGAAGTGAGAATCATCGTCTAGGACAAGTACAAAGTTTTTTCCAGCCAGCGTAAACAAATCTATGCCTGCCGTGCTCCAGGGGGGCCAGTTTTTCCTATGCCACAACATAGGCTCTTTTGCTTGACTTCGCTTGTATTTTTGGCATATGCAACAAGCCTTGACAGGTTCTTCAATGTCACTGTTCATTTGAGGCTAGCGTAAAACATCTCTGGCCCTTCTCCTAGAGTTGTCAATCCCTAAATAATCTTCATGTATCCTTGTTAGCATATGTTTCTGTAACACCTTAGGAATCACCATCCTGGTGCCTCTAAACAGGACCTACCATATTTCCCCGAAAGTAAGACATCCCCCGAAAATAAGACCTACTTCCAGTTTTGCCTCTCGCTGTAATATAAGGCATCCCCCGAAAATAAGACCTCCCGGATAATAAGGCCACCCCGGAAAATAAGGCCCCGAAGCTCCAGGAAAAATAAGACCTCCCCTGAAAATAAAACCTAGCGCATCTTTGGGAGCAAAAATTAATATAAGACACTGTCTTATTTTCGGGGAAACAGGGTAGTAGTGACAAACCCACTTCAATTGGAAATCGCCTTCATTACTTCCTGCAGGGTCTCATCCTGAGCCGTCGGTGCAGCAAGCACAGTCCGCGCTGCATCTGAGAGTGGACAGTCTTTTGTCCCAGGTCCCGATCATGACCTGGTCTCTTATCAGGTGCTCAGTTAAAATGGCAAGACTGGCTCTTCAGTCACAAACTTCTCTTGGATTCACCTTCTTTTTGTTATCTCTGCTTAAAAACATCTCTCCTAGGTTTCATTTGGACTTGGAGTGCACCACTCCTCACCTTTCTGAGCTACAGTTCCATAGTTAGCCTCCCCTGCCCGAGCTAACAGCGCTTCAGAACCAGCTGCTGTGGGAAATAAGGCTACCTTCTTCTTTGCTGGTGCCCATCGCCCGCAGATAGAGTCAAGCCCGGTTTAAACCTTCTCCAGTTGTTTCAGCTCTGCTGGGGCTTTGGCCTGCTCCATTCTTCTACTCAGGGTCTCTTCTCCGTTTGTTTTATTGCTGGTACCACGTGGGGTTCAGTGATCACACAGTGTTTGTCAGAACTCTGCTATAGTCAATGTCTGAGCTCTAGCTGCCCAGCACTGCATAACATGAGTCTCTGCACGCTCCAACAACTGGCTCTTGCCAGAGCCTTTTAAAGGTACACTTCCCCACAGGCTGGGTTTCACTCATGGAACTTCCCCAGCCCCAGGAGCATCAGCAGGGCCTGGCTTGGAGTTCAACTGCTGGATGTTAGACCCTACAGAGCTAGAACTGAGGCCCGTGGAGGCTCTGGGTTTCTGACACCTCCACATTGCCATGGGAGGCTTAGGTGAGGTACCCACAGGAGGACCCTGTGAGGCTGAGCTCAACAGAAAATACCGCCCAGTGGGACTGGAGTGGCAGCCCCTCACAGTCCCCTGATTGGCCGATACCAGTATATAAACCAGGAAGCCATGAAGGGGAACTGACTGAGTAACAACACAGACTGCCTGCCTGCACTCCAGACCCTGTGCTCTGGCTTCTGGCCCTGGTTTGCCCTCGACTTTGCTATTGGATTGCTGTCTGTAACCTGGAGCCCGATCTCCTGGTAATCCTCCTGATGCCTGACTCAGTCCACCCTCTGACCCGCCTCACACTCTGACCTCCCAGTACCTGACCCCTGCTCTGACCGCCCTCGTCCCAGTGGTGACACTGTCGCCAGAGCAGCCTCCTGCCTAGTCCCCTCCTGTGCCCGGGTCGGTCTCCCCGTGGCCCTGTTGTCCCAGCACCCTAAACCCCCCTGGATGAGCTGGTGTCCTAGGACAGTCCGTGAGTCTCTGAACAGGCCGGGAGCACAGGGCAAGCACTGGGGGTCCGACTCCGGACCGGAGTCTTCAGTCCTGTCAGCATCCCCAGGCACAGCTCCTCGGGTTGCCAGCCCATCCCCCCCGTCGGGCTGCTGGCAGAAGCTCTGCCCGGCCCGCCGCCCTTGAGCTCCGTGATAACCTTTGGAGTCCCAGTTACAAATTCCCTTAATAATTATCTAATGTTCTTGTGTGACATTGTGTCCCGGCGAGCCTGGGGCTCATGAGGGCCGGACACATAGCTAGAGGCCGGTGGGCTGGTGGCATAGCATACAGCTAGATCACCACCCACAGCTCTGCTGGTGCCCCTCAGTCCCAACTGCAGCCACCCAGCTCTGCCAACAGCCCTCGGTCCCCACCCAAGGGCCCCCCTGCCTCAGCCCTGGGCTGCTTTCCTCCTGCCAGGCTGAACTGGGGAGGAGTCGATTAA